AACATAATGTCTTTTACCGATTTGGGCTGCCTGGGGGTCCTTTTCGAGCAGCTTTGTGGTGTGTTGATGCCGTCTTGGAGTCCTCTTGAAGACGCCTGGGCCATGTTGGCATCTCCTGGACATCGTGGCGGGCACGTTGCCCGTCCGGGGGAGCACCAGGGCAAGTCCAGAAAAGCCGCAGGCAGAGCCTGAGAGGGCTCAGAGGGAGGGGGGGGGGACGCGGCCTGGCACCAGTCAGGGTGGATACAAAACAACGGGCCCGTTTAAAAAAGGATTTCGTGGGCGTCGTCTTGGACTGTCTGGGGTTTGTCTTGGGGTCCTTTTTGCGGCCGCCTCGGGGGCTCCTCGGGAGCCCTCCTCGGGGCTTTGGGAGGTCCCTCGAAGAGTTCTCAAGACCTCTTGGGCCACTTTGGCACGTCTTGGGGCGCCTTTTCGGCCGTCTGTAGGCGATCTCGTGGGTCGTCCTGGGGCCCCCTCGGCCCCTTGCAAGGGCTCTCTTAGGCCGTCTTGGGGTCACTGCTGCGTCCCGCTTCAGTCTTGGCTCTATATATGCGGTACGGAAGGAGCAGTTTCAGACTGTATTTCCTGACCGAACTCAAACCTCTCTCGAGACATCTTGTGCTGTCTTGTGGGGCGGCTTGAGCTATCCTGGGGCGTCTTGGCGGCCCCAAAGCAGCCTCCTGAGCAACCTTGGAAGCCTCGACCTCCTCGATGCCTGGGGCGAAAATGGGTAGCAAGGGAGGGTGGTTTTGACAAAGTGGGCCGCCCCTGGGCGCAGGGGCCCAATCGCCAATTATACATACAAGCGGCACGTACGTGCGTGCCCAGGCCCTTGCAAACAAACGCAGCACGATGCAATGGAGTCCCTCACAAGAGAACCGGAAATGACGCTGTCATGCGTTCGTAATGAGCCGGCGGGGGACTAGAGGAACGCAGCGCGAAGCAGCGAGAAGCAGAAAGCACATGGGCGCAGCCGAAAGCAAGAGGGACAGGAAGAACACAGATTATCGTACAACGGACTGCTTTCCCTCAGGTTCTGTTGGCCCCACAAGAACAAGACAGATGTGGCGAACTCCTGTGTTGCCCATCGGAGTGAGGTGGAGGGGTTAAGGGTGAAAAAAAGGAACGACGCAAAGCAGGGTAGAGGAGAGAAGAAGAACGAGCGTGAAATTGCGGAGTGGCGAAGTGCAGAAACGAAGAGGAGCGAGCAGGAGTCCAGAGGAGAAGGGGGAGGAGTGTGACGAGGAGGATCGAGTCGCCAATTACTCGTACATACATGTGTGCGTTGACCGATCGATCAGAGTCACGGTGAACAACCAATCATTACCCCGAGGGGGCCGTTAGCTCCAGCCTCGGCATGGCGACAGAGTCTCTAAGCTTCTCTCGAGGACGGAATCGATGACGTGTGCACTCTGCTGATGTGGTGCGCTGCGTCGTGCAACCGGTGAGGCAGTCTTAGGGGGCCACATGCGAACCCTACCCCTACCCCTCACGATTTCTGAGGGGGAGGGAGGGGTCCGCTTCGCTCGGGAGCTCCCGAACGACGTCTGAATCTGAATAGCGCAAACCCTAAGTCGGGCGTGTCCCCCTACAGGGGGGATTTTCGACGAAACATAAAACATACCCCCAAACATACTCCCAAATGGCAAAAACAAATACACAAGAAATAGTCCCCAGACTATTTTCCTACTACCTTTGAATCTTCCTCCTGTAGAGGGACAAGCCCGACTTAAGGCAAGCGCCAGCCAGCGCACGAGGCGGGCACCAGGCGGGCTCCAGGCGGGCGCCAGACCGCCTGCCACCCATGCAGGCGCGAGGCGGGCACCGGGCGCGCACCGGGCGAAGGTCCAGAGCAGCCCGCCGGCTCACGGGGCGGTGCGGAAGCGCAGGCCGACGACTTGGAGCAGGACTCCGAAGCCCGCTGTGCGGGCACTGTCCGGGGAATGAGGCCGGACTGGGGCGCAGCAGGCTGAAGGAAGCGAGCGGAAGAGGGGGAGGGGGGAGGGCGGGGTGGGGGACTGGAGGTAGGAAGGCTGGAAATTCCCGAAGGGGGGGAAGGCTGGAAATTCCCGAAGGGGGTCAGGACACAGGGGGGGGAGGGGGGGGGCAACTTCCAGCCAGCGGAGGGGGCTGAGTCGACCCTCTACTTAGGCTTTTTGCATGGAGACCCATCGGACCCTCCAGGAGGAGGGAGAAGCTCAGACAAATGGAGAGCCGAGCCCGAAGCTACAACTATGGCTACTGCTGAAGCCCAGGCTGAGGCCAAACATCTAAGCCTGACTCATGGGCACAGTGGTACATTATCTGGTATAAGAAACCTGACATATCACCATTAGAAACCCCAGATCTTCCTGAGGTGACTCGAGGCTAATGTGTCACGACTGGAATCCCCTGAAGCGGAATCCACAAACAAAAAGGGGGCACAAAAGCAAGAACACGCGAAAAAAAAGTGAGCAACAAAAACCTATGCCCACTTGTGCGTCTTGGGGGAACACTTGTTGCACGAGTTGTCGGCGCAGATGTTGTTTCCACCAGAAATAAGTAAACCAACCTTGTTGTTCCACTTTTTGTTGCGTTTCTGCTGCGCGTGATCTTGATGCTGCTGTGTTTGTTGCACAGTATGGTGCTTTCAACATAAATTGGTAAACGAACTTTTTGTCATGAGGAAACCACAGCTGCGACATGTGACCCCCAAGGCCATCGGGGGGAGAGCAACCTCCATGCGACTACTGCAATGGGGAAACAGAAAGATACCGATAGCGAGTTCCCCAAAGCCGGGACCTCTCCCAGGGCGCATTCTGACCAGGATCCCGAGGCGCATCTGGCCGTGGCGACGAGCGAAGGGCAGCGACATCGGCATCGCTGCCTCCCCGGAAGTGGAGCCGAGGCCAAGGCTGAAGCTCAGCTCAACCCCACGGAGGGGCCTGGTGCGCCGCAGGGGAGGGCTGGGACTAGGGCGAGGGGGGTTAGCACACCATGGCCCGAGGCAGGTGCTCCGACGAGAAAGGCCCAGGGGACGCGCTGAAAGAGAAGGAAGAGGCCATGAAAGCTGGAAGATACCACGGCCCCAGTCGTGACATCCTCACACACACACACACATATACACCTTGTGATGGGCCTGTTTGTACCTAACAGCGAAGACTGATAGGTTTCTAGTAGTGTCAAAAGAGAGCATCTTGACTCCCCAAAGGGGTCTGGGCGGGTGCCGGGGAGAATCCGCGGAAGTCGTTTTAAGCAAACAGTTACACACTTCGTGGTCTTCGAGGTCCCAGAACTCCATTCCCGAGCCACATTCTGAATGCCCGGAGCCAACTGTAAGCCACTTCGTGGTCTTCGAGTTCCCAGAACTCCATTCCCGGGCCACATGTTGAATGCCCGGAGCCAACTGTAGGCCACTTCGTGGTCTTCGAGTTCCCAGAACTTCATTCCTGGGCATGATTTCGAATGCCCGGAGCCAACTGTAGGCCACTTCGTGGTCTTCGAGTTCCCAGAATTCCATTCCTGGGCATGATTTTGAATGCCTGGAGCCAACTGTAGGCCACTTCGTGTTCTTCGAGTTCCCAGAATTCCATTCCCGGGCCACATTTTGAATGCTGAGGCAGGCTGAGGCTGAGGCTGCAGGCTGAGGCTGAGGCAGGCTGAGGCTGAGGCCGAGGCTGAAGGCAGACTGAGGCTGAGGCTGAAGCAGGCTGAGGCTGAGGCTGAGGCAGGCTGAGGCTGAGGCTGAGGCAGGCTGATGCTGAGGCAGGCTGAGGCTGAGGCTGAGGCTGATGCAGGCTGAGGCTGAGGCAGGCTGAGGCTGAGGCCGAGGCTGAAGGCAGACTGAGGCTGAGGCTGAAGCAGGCTGAGGCTGAGGCTGAGGCAGGCTGAGGCTGAGGCTGAGGCTGAGGCTGAGGCAGGCTGAGGCTGAGGCTGAGGCTCATGCAGGCCACTGCGACTGTCATCGCGAATGCGACTACGACTGCGAGAACAGCAGAATTCTACAACTTGATTATCATCTTAATCTTAAGGGGAATGCTTCCAGATATGCTCCTACACATCGCTGTTAGGTTGCTTTGCCAGGATAATCTACCATCACCACCACCACCACCATAAGTTGGAGGGGTGAAGGAGGTGGAGGATGAGGAGGAGGAGGAGGAGGAGGAAGAAGGAGAAGAGGACCCCCTCCCCCTTCTACTTGTGGTGGTGGAATACACGCCCACCACCTTGCCCTCCTCCTCCTCCTCCTCCTCCCCCTCCTCCTCCCCCTCCTCCTCCCCCTCCTCCTCCTCCTCCTCCTCCTCCTCCTCCTCCTTGTCCTCACCTCTTGGACGCCCGGTGGCTCTCGGGCCCCGGCTCGGGCGTCCGGCGGCCGTCCAACAAGGACGATCCCGGCACCCCCGGCGCGAGCTCTCGGCGAGGCGCAGCCGCCGCAAAGCAGCCCGAGGCAGGACAGACGCCAAGGGCTGGCGAGATCGCCCGAAGGCCTCGAGCCCAGGTCCTGCAGTCGCGGCGGTGTTCCTCCACCGAGGGAAGAAGATCCCGATCTCGGTGATGGTGGTAATATTCTGGCTTCCAAGGTGACCGAAATATGACCACCAACACCGAAATCTAGGATCACCTCCCCCCTGTGGAGGCAGCCCCCTGTCTTGGTGTTGGTGCCCATTTCCAGGCCTCACCTACACCAGGGGGTTGCCTCCACAGGGGGAAGGTGATCCTAGATTTCGGTGTCGGTGGTAATAGTTCGGCCACCTTGGAAGCCAGAATTATCACCACCATCACCGAGATCGGGATCTTCTCCCCTCGGTGAAGGCGCAGCGCCAATATTGGTGTTGGTGTCAATCTCGAGGCCTGCGATCCTGGACGCCCCCCGCGAGGCAAGACAAACGCCGAGAGCTGGCGAAGCCGTCCGCAAACCTCGAACCCCAGGTCCTGGACGCCCCCGACGAGGCGATGGGAAGAGACAAAGATGGCTGCGGCCCCCGTCCCGGGAGAGAGCCCCAGGCGCGCCGCGCGGGCCCTCAGTCCGGGATGAAGTCGAGAGCCCGGGCGACGCCAACAGGCACGAGCTGGCACGGGTGGCACATGACGCCTGACAGGGGAGGCAGGAGGGCGACGCAGAGAGGGGGATAGGGGAGGGGAGGAAGGAGAGAGCGTCGGGGAGGGGGAGGGGGATGCGGGGGAGGAGAGGCCAGAGGCCGGGAGGGGGGGGGGGTAGGACCAGCCAGGTGCGCTCGCGCCATGTCCGACATCCCACCCCTCCCACAAATCTAAAACAGGGCTAGGATCGGGATAAATCGCTCCAGAGCGTTCTGGAGCGCTCTCAGAGCGTTCCGGAACGCTCTGGAGCGGCCGCGGCGCCCAATGCATCCTCCAAACCCGCCGATTCTCAGAGATTTCGAGTTGTCCCGATCCGATTTTGTCCCGATCTTCGTGTCGTTTTAAAATCCCCTCCCACCGTGCTGAGTTCTTCTCCACCCGCCGACGGGTGCCATGGCGGACCTGGGAGCACGGCGCGGCGCACCCCGTCGGCGGCCTGGACTGACCCCAGACCCACGACGCCACGATTCGTTCCTGACGTCGGCCCCCAGAGGCCTCGACACCCGTTCCCTGGGACCGGTTGCTGTTCTGCTGGATTCTCCCCTGTCGGTCCCGAGGCCCGGTGAGGTCCCTCAGATGCCGAGATCCCGCCATTCGGGAGCGGCCAAGAGAGGGGTGTCCAAGAGGGGGGGTGCAAATCATGACCGGCGGCATGTGCGCGGCCCAGCGGGGGGGCCAGGGACGTCATGAAATAAGAAGAGGCGCCATGAAATCTGGGGAAATATCATGGCCCCCGCCATGATATCCACCCCCCCCTAGTCATCACCCCCCTCTTTTCCGCCCCCGATTCTCCCTTGTCGGTCCCGAGGCCCGGTGAGCTCCCTCGGAGGCCGAACTCCCGCCATGACTTCGTCGTGCCTCGAGGGGGGCACGCCGGTCCTCGGGCGCCGATCCTCGAGCGGCGACCCTCGAGCGTCCGCCCCCGAGGGTCGAGGGCCGAGGATCCGGGCTCGACGCGTCGAGGGCCAGAAGGAGCAAGTGGGCCAGAGGGACCGAGGATCGGGTCGGGTGTCGGGGATCGACCCCCAGGATCGAGGATCGAGGATCGAGGATCGAGGTCGAGGGCCGAGGATCCAGGCTCGACGCGTCGAGGGCCAGAAGGAGCAAGTGGGCCACGAGGACCGAGGATCGGGTCGGGTGTTGCCAGGGAGGTGTCCCTGGCCCAAGGTACCCCCAGCTTTTCGCTCCGTGTTGGAACCCCTGGGGCCCTCCAGGCCTCGTGAGGGGTTCTCTGGGGGCCCTTTGGGCCAGCCCCAGAATCCTGGGGGCACCTTGGCCCAGGGGCACTTCTAGCAACACCCGAGGGGGGTCTGGGACCGCACACCCGAGGGCACACCGGCCCCCCGTGCCCGAGGCCGCCCGCGCACCCTCCTCGCGGCGGAGAGTCTCAACGCCGGAGGCCTCCTCCCGCCTTCCTCCTCGAAGGGGCCCAGGGGCACACGAGCGAACAGACACCCGTCCCAAAATTCCCCGTACGTTTCCGCATGTTCTGGCCTCCCGTCCTCCCCCTCCACCTCCCGTGTGTTCCATCTTTTCCTGGGAATCGGCGACTGCGTGTGCCTGTGTGGTTCTCGTTCCTGAGGGGCAACGATAAGGGGGGATAGGCATAGGGGGGATGCATCAACTTGGAATCGGCGATACATCGCCGACAGATCGGCGATAGGGCCCCGATAGTGAATCCGCACCTTCCTGGGCAGGTTGGTGCTATCAGACCCCTATCGGCGATCAATGGGCGATTGGGGGTCGATGGGCGAAGCGAGGCGCCAGGGAGGAGGAGGGGGGAGGAGGGGGGAGGGGGAGGAGGAGGAGGGGGAGGAGGGGGGAGGAGGAGGAGGAGGAGGAGGAGGAGGAGAGCAGGAGGAGGAGGAGGAGGAGGAGGAGGGGGAGGGGAGGAGGAGGAGGGGGAGGAGGAGGGAGGAGGAGGAGGAGGAGGAGGAGGAGGAGGAGGAGGAGGAGGAGAAGGAGGAGGTGGGCTCCCTGTGTGTGCCTATGGTTCTCGTTCCCCTCCTCACTCCTCCGCGGCGGGGGGCCTCCGCGGCCGCCCTCTCCCTCCCCCCGCTGGCTCTGCTCCAGCAGCCCCGGCGCGGCCCACCGGTTCCCGGAGCGCGCCGTGCGCTCGCCCTCGCCGCGGACCAGAAGATGTTCTTTGCGCAGTCAGCAGATCAGAGGAAGAAAAGGCACCCGTACTCCCTCCTCCTCCTCCTCCTCCTCCTCCTCCTCCTCCTCCTCGCCGCCTCCTCCTCCTCATCTTCCACGGCCTCCGTCTCCGCCCACTTCGTCGCCAACGTCGTGGTCCTCTTCAGGGTCGGCGGCACCGGCCGTCAGGCCTTCGCAATCAGAGGAAGAGAAGGCACCCGTACAGCCACCCTTCCCCTCGTTGGGCCCCCTCGGAGGCCCTCGTCGCCACCGCTGGATTCGCCCCGCGGTATCGGTACCTCTTGGCTTCCCCAGAAAAAGGGGAGGGGAGGGGAGCGGGGGAAGAGGCGGGACAAAAGGTGGAGGAGGAGGATGGAGGGGAGAGGAGGGGAGAGGATGAGAGGGAGCCTACAAAAGACGTGCGCGCCCAACCACGTACATGAACACGCCCCCCCAGTCCGCGAGACCAGCGCGTGATACGAACGGTCGCGCAATGCGTACTCTCGAAACCAGCGTGGACTCATGTACGTGTACGTCCGTCCTTCTTTCGCCCCTGATCCAAATCGATCGAAATTTCGGCTAAGGCACACCTGTATCCAGGAGCTGAGCATCGTTCAACCAATCCCCATCCCCAGCGCCGTGGCCTGGGCCCCACTGGCCGATTTGCCCCCCGTGGATGGGGGTATAGGCCGTTCCTTTCGGGTTTCGCGGGGTGTATCCCCAACGGGGGTGGTAATTTGGTGGGGGTCTCGAAGGGGATGGGGATGGGGATGGGGGTCGGTCAAACGATACCGAAAAATGGCCCCCCTTTTCGAAGCGGCCCGACCTGCGAAGCGGTCTGGGGGGCGAAGCGGCCCGCCTGGCGGGCCGGCCTCGTGCCGAGGCCCTGCCAGCGAAAGCCTCTGCGAAGGGGATGAGCTACTCTGTAAGAACGGTTTTTTGAAGGCAGATCTGCCTTCAAAAAACCGTTCTTACAGAGTAGACCATTTTTTGAAGGCAGATCTGCCTTCAAAAAACCGTTCTTACAGAGTAGACCTATTTTTTGAAGGCAGATCTGCCTTCAAAAAACCGTTCTTACAGAATAGACCTATTTTTTGAAGGCAGATCTGCCTTCAAAAAACCGTTCTTACAGGGTCGGCTGCACGACGCTGAGGAGCGCCGACGGTCCCTGTTCTCGGCGAGGCGCCCTGGAGGCTGCGCACCGTGCCCGCCCCCCCCCCGGGCTGCTCGCCCCCCTGTCGCCGCCTCCGACGTGCCGCGGCGGCCGCCTCGGTGCTGCTTGCGCGCCGCAGGCGCCGCCCAGAGCTTCTTTTTTTGTTTCTCTCTCTCTCTCTCTCTCTTTTTCTCGGAAGTCTGCCGCGTAGCCGCCCGGCGCGATGCGCACCGACGCGAGCGAAGAGAACAGGATCTGCAGTGCAAGTGCCCCGGCCAACAGGACCACGCACCACGCTCCCTGATCCTCGATTCCTCGAGCCTCGATCCCGATCCTCGACACTCGACAACTTTGATCCTTCGATGCTCGATCCTTCGATCTGTGTTGACCCAGGCTTCCAGGATCCACGCTACTGGTGCCGAACACCCAGACACGCGCGTACCCCCACGTCGCGGTGCGGGGCAGAATTGGCGGTCACGAGGCTAGCCTCCTCCATGCCAGCCAGCACGGGCGCAAAATTAGTTTCGGTATCGTTGTCCTTTCCCTGCTCTATCCTCCTCTTCATCCTCCTCCCCTGCTTCGGCTGCACGCAAGAGTGACCCTAAAGAGTGACCTGTGGTGCGCGGACCACGGGGGCGCAAAATGACCAAATCCAAGCGGGCCAGCAGCCGCTATCGCAACGCGCTCAGCGATCGGGACGACCCTGGTGAGCCCGCACCACAGGTCACTCCGGCAAACGGTCACTCTTACGGTACTTACGTGTAGTCGACTGCTGGCATGAAGGAAAGGGACCCTGAGGGAAGAAACGACGCCTTGGCCCGCAGGGATTCCACCGGTACCAGCTTTTCGTCCTGAGTCGCTTGCTGACGGCATCCCCTGGCCCCGGTACGTCCGCCGACTGTTGCCAGCGTCCGCCGAGGGCCGGATGCGCCGACGACGAGGTCGCTTTCTGGAACGCCCTTCGTGGCACAGCGCGCCAGGATCGGAGTAAGGATGCGGGGGCCTTGGACGCCCGAGTCGTGAGTCCTCTTGGGCGACAACGGCCCGCGATCATGGCGAGGGGTGGGCCGAAGATGCGAGGATAAAAGCCTTGGAAAGGTAGTTTTGTCCGCGAATTCTGTGCGATACCAAATGTTGTCGCTTAGACTGTTTGACGTTACGCCGAGCACCCTCGGATGTGCAGGTGCTGCTTGAGGGGGCGACGAAAGAACGAGGGAGAGGGGGAGGAAGACGAGGCCGAGGGGAAAGCAACGACGACCCCCAAGCGCAGAAGCGACAAAGCGGGAAGCCTTGGCAAGGCACTCATCCTTATGATCGTGCCCTGCCTGGCCGTACGACTGGCAGTGGCACAGCGCGGGATCCCCCAAGGGGCGGGCAGCACCCTCCATGTGGGGGAGGGGCGCCGCCGCCTCGCGAGCCGTTTCTGACGGCCCTGGGGGGGGGGGGGGGGGGGCGGCCCGCAAAAGGCCCCTGAGAGCCCCAAGCCCAAGGCGGCGAAGAGGCATTGGGACCCCTCCCCAACTCTCCTCGCCAGCGTGGGGACGTCCATTCCACGTGTATGTTCCGAAGTCGCGCGCTAATCCGTTCGCAAGATGAGCCAGGACGCTGCTTGCTGGTCCATGCCGACGCAAAATGCACACGTCCGAGCGACGTTCAGTTTTTCTGTGGTGCTTCTGGGCGACGCGCTGCGTCACGCTGGCAGCAAACATATGGCAGGAAAAACGGCAGAAACAGCAAGCTGTATGTCTATGCGGCTTTTTCTTCTTCCTCGAAATGTGACTCCTCCTCCTCCTCCTCCTCCTCCTCCTCCTCCTCCTCCTCCCCAATTCCCCGGGGGCGGCTTCCGAAGGGAAGTTCGGGCAGCGCGCGGACACGCCGCGCCACCCCTCCGGGAAGGCGCGCGGATACGCCGCGCCCCCCGGCCGTGATGCAGCGCCACCCCGACGGGCACAGTCGGGGCGTTGACCTAAGGAACCCTAAATAAGGAACGAGGCCCCTCTTTCCCATCAGGTACAGTTCGATTCCCCATCGAAAACTTAAGAAAAACCTAAGGCAAGCTGTAAAACAATCATGGAACACGGAGCCCCTCTCCAGCGAAAAGGGTTCTTTCTTCAGGGCCCAAACTGTACTCGGCAAACGGAGACTCTGGCCGACGCAGGAGAGCGACGACTCTCCTGCCACTCCCCTGCACCATCCCGCGCGAGAGTGGCACGCCTTCTGCCGCCCTCCTGCCACCCTCCTGCACGCTGCCGACGCACCCGTCAACAGGTACCCACCTCGGCAGCGCTGATAGAGGCCTCCCAAGTGGGGTCCAAGTAGATGGGGGCGGAGGATCGCGCCGCATCGGCGACGCATCGGCGAGGCAACGGCGACATCGGCAATGCATCGGCGACACCGGCGTGGAGAAAATCGGGCGCCACACCGAGCCGCACCGCCGATGTCTCGGCGATGCGGCGCGGTCCCCGACTCCATGCATCAATGATTCTGGGCGGTTTTGCTGGCCACTTTCTGAAACTAGAGTAAAGCATATGGGTGCGATCGGCTGAAGATGCGCCCCAGGAATACCGGAGCACCTCGCGGCCCTCGTCGCCCGGGGCCCGCGCGGAGCGCCGAGGCAAGAAAACCTGGAAACACCGACACTGGAACGCCTCACTATCGTGACTTGCTGCCCTCCCTCTCGCTCTCGTTGGCCTTCTTGGAAGGGCCTTGAGAGACCTCGCCTCTGGAGGCAGGACCAGTCAGCATCGAATCGGCAGATCGGCTCGAATCCTCTTGTGCATCGGATCGGGCTGCATCGGCACGGAGTCGGAATCGAATCGAACCGGCCGCGCCAGGATGCACGGCAGCTCCGCACAAGCGTCGGGCCGCATCAGATCGCTAGAACATCTTAGTCGAAGCGCGTCGGGCCAGCCAAGGATCAATATCTCAGATCGGATCGATCGCATCGAAACGGAGCATGGGAGGCCGATGCCTTCCTCGGTGTCGGTGTCTCTGCTCGCTCGCGGCCGTCGCCGCCGAGGCCGCCACCGCCGTTGGGACGACGACGGCGGCGATAGCGAGGACCCCCCCTTCCCAAGGGGGAGGGCGGAGGGAGGAGGGAACGGAAGAGGGAAGAGGAGGAGCAGGAGTAGGGAGGAGGAAGAAGGGAGGAAAAGGCCGAGGATTTCCAGGATTTCCGCCATCACGTAGTGATAGAGGAAAAGGCCGAGGAGAAGGAGGAGGAGGAGGAGGAGGAGGAGGAGGAGGAGGGAGAGGAAGAGGAAGGAGAGGAGGAGGAGGAGAAGGAGGAGGAGGAGGAGAAGGACGAAGGATGAGGTGAGGATGAGGACGAGATGAGGAGGAGGAGGAGGAGGAGGAGGAGGAGGAGGAGGAGGAGGACGAGGAGGGGAGGACGAGGAGGAGAGGAGGAGGAGGTGCAGGAGGAGGAGGAGAGGCGGAGGAGGGAGGAGGAGGAGGAGGAGAGGAGGAGGAGGTGCAGGAGGAGAGGAGAGGAGGAGGAGGAGACGAGGAGGAGGAGGAGAGGGAGGAGGAGAGGGGAGAGAGAGGAGAGAGGAGGAGAGAGGAGGAGAGAGGAGAGGAGGAGAGGAGGAGGAGGAGGAGGAGGAGGAGGAGGAGGAGGAGGAGGAGGAGTGCAGGAGGAGGTGCAGGAGGAGGAGAGGAGAGGAGGAGGAGAAGGAGGAGGAGGAGGAGGAGGAGGAGGAGGAGGGAGGAGGGAGCAGGGAGGAGCACGAGCGAGGAAAGGGAGGAGGAGGAGGAGGAGGAGGAGGAGGAGGAGGGACGACGACGACGACGACGAGGACGAGGAGGAGGACCCCCCCGAGGCGCCCCGCAGGGCAGCGCAGTCGAAATAGGATACGCCCATGACGGTGCCGTCGTGCAGCCCGTCCGCGGTGCGAAGCTCCACGCCCACCTGCCGCGGCCCGGCAATATCCTTCTCCTCGCTCCTCCTCCTCCTCCTCCTCCTCTCCTCCTCCTCCTCCTCCTCCTCCTGCTCCTCCTCCTCCTCCTCCTCCTCCTCCTCCTACTCCTCCTTTTCCTGCTCATCCTCCTCCTCATCCCCAAAGAGAGGATCCGTGTCCGCGCCGTCGCGGTCTGGATTCCAGGGTGCGATCCCGCGGATGCGCGGTCGTACGGATACCCTCCGCTCTGGGCATCTGCAAAAAAAACGCGTCGCGGCCCAAAGGCCCGGCCCGCGAGGCCGCGGACACGGATACAAGTTTCGTCCGCGACGGTTGTCATTGCCAAGATAGCGTGCAACAATGACCTCCGATAAGAACGTTATCTCCGTGAGGCGATCCCCCCGCGCAGGGCCCCCTCTTTGGGCGCGCTGGTCCCCTGCCAGGGCTTCTTCGGCGCACGCTATCCCAAAGGTGGGGGAATGCGTGCACTGCATGCTGTGCTTGACATGCTATCGCATGATCTTTCAGCAGCGACAGCCGTAAACAGATCTTGAGCAGGCCCTGGGGCACACGTGGCCATGGTCCGAGCGGCAAGAGGTCGTGCGGACGGAGCAAGGGCACGCTGCAGGGACCCCTCTGCGGAGGGACAGAGATGCAGAGAGAGAGAGAGAGAGAAGAGATAAGAGAAAGAGAGAGAGAGAGAGAAAAAAAAAAAAAAAAAAAAAAAAAAAAAAAAAAAAACGATAATAGAACGAGAGGGGGAGGGAAAATATAGAAGAGAGGAGAGAGGCAAGTTAAGCGCGCTCGCGCCATATCTGGCAGAGCACCCCTCCCACCCATCGTTCCCCATTGCCCAGACTGATTCTCGATGCGCCGACGGGTGCCATAGCAGACCCGGAGCCCCCAACACGACCTCATGTGCTCCGCGCACTCAAGAGGGGAGCTGTGTATCTTGGAGAGGAGGAGCAGCAGCAATAGCAGCAGGAGGGGGAGGAGGAGGCGGTGGCAGATGAGCAGGAGGATGAGCAGGAGGCCGACTAGGAAAGGGAAGGAGGAGAAGAAGGAGCAGCAGCAGCAGCAGCAGCAGGAGCACAAGTAAGGGGAGCGGGAGAAGCAGGAGGACCAGGAGAAGACGGAGTACGCGAAAGGAGAGGGGAGCGACAACGACGAGGGAGGATTCGGATCCAAAGATGTGGCCCGCGCTGGGGCGAGAGCGCCGTTTTGAACTACGGGGGCAAAGCGCTGGATCCTGAAATGGGGCCAGTGCTGCTGCGGGGGCACCATTTACCCGACTGGGCACAAGAATACGGCAATTCAACGGTTGATTTCCGATACGTTTTAGGGGGTTCCAAAGCAAGAAAAAACATAACCGTAATGCGTGTTCAGATACACCTGGAGGGAAGGTGCCCCATTCAGACAGAGTCCGAGGAAACAGAGGAGTAGTACTCCTGTCGAACCATCGTGGGCAGGGAATCGGAGAAACATATAGAAAGCGAGGAAGAGAGAACAGAGGCCTCTTAGATGGGGTCCGAATAGATGGTGTCAGAGGATCGCACCGCATCCCCGATACATCGGCGATGCATCGGCGATGCACTGGCGACGCATCGTGGATGTCGGCGATGCATCGGCGACGTCGACGTGAAGCAAATCGGGCTCCGCATCGAGCTGCATCGGCGATGCATCGGCGATGCGGCGCGATCCTCCGACCCGATCTACCCCGACCCCATCTGGGAGGCCTAGAGAGAAAGCGAGAGAGAGAGAGAGAGAAACAGAGATGGACAGAGAGTCGGCAGGTGTGACGAGCCTACCGCCTGAAAAGCCTGGCCGCGGCATGCTCCGAGCCCTCCTACTGGGGCGGAGACGCCTGCCAGGCGGACTGGGAGGGGGGGCAAGAAGGATATCGGGGATGAGAGCGGCAAGGGAGGAGGAGGAGGAGGAGGAGGAGGAGGAGGAGGAGGAGGAGGCGAGGAGGAGGAGAGGAGGAGAGGGAGGAGGAGGAGGAGGAGGAGGAGGAGGAGGAGGAGGAGGGAGAGCAGGAGGAGGAGGAGGAGGAGGAGAGGAGGAGGAGGAGGGAGGAGGAGGAGGAGGAGGAGGAGGAGAGGAGGAGGAGGAGGAGGAGAGGGAGAGGGGAGGGAAATGAGGAGCAGGGTGCGGAGGGCCGAGGAGGGAGAACGACGGAGGGCGCATGGAGGAGGGACCGCGGCGGGGCGAGGAAGGAGAGTCAAGGACGGCGGGGAGGGGAGGGAAACAGAAGGCGCAGGAGGGCGGAGGCAGGGAAGAAGGGGAAGGAGGGCGCACGGAGGAGGAACCGCGGCGGAGGGGGGCGCAGGGGGAAGAAGGGGGAGGAGGGCGCATGGAGGAGGGACCGCGGCGGGGGGGGAGGGAAAGAGAAGGCGCAGGAGGGCGGGAGGAGGGAAGGAAGAAGAGGAAGGAGGGCGCACGGAGGAGGGACCGAGGCAGAAGGGGAAGAGGAAGGAGGGCGCATGGAGGAGGGACCGCGGCGGGGGGGAGGGAAAAAGCAGGCGGAGGGAAAGGAAGCACGACCGGTGGGGCGCCCCACCCACAGGCCAGGCGCGAACTTCGTCGGGCCGACGAAGCGCACCGTGCCCTGGAGGGTCCCATTCCACAGGACCGCGTCGCCCACCTGGGGGGAGGCCAAGGAAGCTCCGAGGAGGGGGACTAGAATCGAGGATAGAGGAGAAGAACCGAGGAACGAGGATCGAGGATCGAGGTGGAGGAGGAGGAAGAGGCTCGAGGATCGAGGTGGAGGATCGAGGCTCGCGGGTCGAGGAGGTGGGGAAGAGCCTCCCTCCTGGCCCGCACTGGGGCTCTTCCCGCACCCCCCCCCGACGGCGGCGCAAGACCCTCCCCCCCCTCCTCGCGCGGCGAAGAAAAAACACGGCAGGCTGTGTTTGGTACTGCCTCGACCTCGGGGGACCTCGCAGGGGCCCTGGGGCCGCCGAAGCACTGCATCGTGAAGCGCACCTACCTCACCATCGCTGGGAACGTCCAGAGTCCTAGCCAGCCTCGCCAGGCCCCAGGACCGTCCAACAGCTGCTCAGGAGGAAAGGCCGGTCCCCAGGGACGGGGTCCAGTCCAGGCCTCCAGGGGGGTCCAAGCTCGTGAGAAGAAAGCACGACGCCAGATGTCTGAGAAGGGAGAGAGGGGGGCGGGGGGGGGGAGGGTGCAGTTCCAGACCTGGCGGCTGCAACAGGGGCAGATAGCCCAGGGCCCAGATATCCGGCTGCTCCAATGTTTGGGGAGCGTGGATCCAGGAAATTCGGACCACTTCCCTGGGACCGGTTTTTCGTCCTGAATCGTTGTTTGACGCTCCCGAGGCCTGGCGAGGGCCCCCGGAGGCCGAAAACTTCCAAACGCCGCCTGCTCATTTTTTTTCTGGAGCGTCGGATCCTGGGGGGGAGAGCATCGCATGTGTCCAGAGGCTCTGGTCGCATGTGTCTTCGGCGAGGCTCCCCTGTGCATCCGCCCCCACCGGGCCATCCGCCCCTCTGGCCTCCGCAGGCACGGCGAACGTCGCGACCTCGTCGAGCCCCGGCGGCCCGTCGGCAGGTTCTCGGGCTCGGGATGTTTCTGGGCGCCGGCGCCTTCTGAAAGGTTCCCAAGGTGCCGACCAACAGGCCCCAAGAGGCATCCAAAAGGCCTCGTGTCGCACGGTGGCGGGATGGGCCGAAAGCCGCGACGCCCTCGCCCTTCTTGCGTAGAGCTGCAAGCAACAACTGAGCAGGAGGAGGAAGAGAAGGAGGGGGTGGAGGAGGAGGTGGAGGAGGAGAGGAAGAGTAGGAGAGACGAGGAAAGAGGAGGAAGGAGGGAAGAGGTAGAAGGGAGGAGGGCGCGTGGAGGAAAGCATGGAGCTGAAGCGAGCGCGCCTTCAGCGATGTCTCCGCCGCGGGCCTGCCGCCGAGAGGCCGTTGGCGCTCCCGCCGAGCCGCCGCCATGCTTTGCGCGGGCGCGGGCTCGTCGGCGCTGGGGCGGCCGGGCTCGTCGGGCTCCGCCGCCGCCGCCTCGCAGGGCCGCGTCTGTCGCCGGCGGCGGCGGCGGCGGCGACGACGACGACGACGACGACGACTACGACGACGCCGACGACGACGATGATGACGCCGACGCCAGCGATGATGACGACGACGACGTCGAGGACGAAAACGAAGACGACGACGACGACGACGACGACGACGACGACGGCGGCGGCGACGACGACGACGACGACGGCGACGACGACGACGACGGCAGCGGCGGCGACGCTGGCGACGAAGACGATGACGACGACGACGACGACGACGACGACGACGACGACGACGACGGCAGCGGCGGCGACGACGGGAAGGCGGCGGCGAAGACGGCGGCAACGGCGGCGAGGACGACTGCCATCTTGACTCCCGGATTTCGGGCGACTCGACCAAAAAAACGCGCCTTAGGCTGGGGCCGCTTCTGGACTGTTCGGAACGAAGAAACGGACCTTGGGGTCCACAGTTTCCCCCGGGGCCGCAGGCGACCCGAGGAGGAGGAGGAGGAGGAGGAGGAGGAGGAGGAGGAGGAGGAGGAGGAGGAGGAGGAGGGAGGAGGAGGAGGAGGAGGAGGAGGAGGAGGAGGGGAGAGGAGGAGGAGGAGGAGGGAGGAGGAGGAGGAGGCGGAGGAGGAGGAGGAGGAGGAGGAGGAGGAGGAGGAGGGAGGAGGGAGGAGGGAGGAGGGAGGAGAGAGGAGGAGGAGGAGGAGGAGGAGGAGGAGGAGGAGGAGGAGATCGCCAGGAGATCGCCACTGGGGACCAATGTCCCTTCCCCTCTGCACTACTGGCGGGCCGCAGGAGGGCACGAGCCTCCGCGCCATCAAAATAGTGCTTGCACTGCGCCCAACGGCGCCCAGGAACAGCCCCCAGGGGACGCGCAGTTATCTTCGCACCACGCGCAGCCCAGCCCAGGGGCAAAGGGGTCCACGACTTCGCAGCCCGCGACCGCGCCCCTCGCGCTGGCCGAGGACTCACGTGGCACCCCAGACCTCCACCTTGAAGTTGTCCTCCCACTCCTTGAGCTTCCGAGAGAACTCCGCGAGTGCGAGGCCGCTTTTGACCAGCTCTTCCATCTTGATGGACTTGTGCTGGTCCCTCCAGTCGAGGAACTTCTCGTACAGCTCCTCGTTCGAGACGCCAGCGAAGACCGACGCCCTCTGCAGCTCCCACTCGTGCTTGGCTTTGCGAAGGCCCAGGTCATCCTCGCCCTCGGTGTCTCCGTTGCTGATGTCGGCGACCAGCACTTTCCCCTCGGTGGCCGTGCCGCTGGGGACGAGGTCGATGTCCTCCAGCGTCTCCTCCCCGATCTGCTCCGCCACAGGCTTCGGCAAGTACTGCGTGTCGTCCACTTCGTCCAGCGCGCCCCCGTAGCTCATGACCGACACCATCCCCTTAGTGTCGATGGTCTTGCAGTCGGAGGCGCACTTGACATGCTCCTCCAGCGCCATGCCGATCTCCGACGAGCTCACGGCCTCGCTCGCCAGATCCGTCATGTCGTCCACCGTCTCCGACAGGTCTGCTTCCTCGGGCCGCGGCCCCCACCCCTCCCCACCGGCGCCGCCCTTGACCTTGTCCTCGCTGGGGGGGGCGGGGCCCGCATCGGCGCCCTTGTAGCACTGCGACCCGTCAATCTTGAGGCTCTCCTTGGCCTTGCGGCCGCCGCGCTGCCTCCGCTTGGCCTCGCGGCCCGTCTGCGGGAGGTCATCTGCGCCGCAGCCCATGTCTACGTGTAGGCCGGCGTTGCGCATGGCCTTCATGTCCCCGCTGATATCGGCCTCACCTGTGGGTCCCGCCTTAACCAGCTCCGTGAGGGCTGGCTCCACCATGGCCAGCCTGGCTGCGACCTCCTGCTGGAGGCCGTCGACGCCGTCGCAGGATGTCCGGATAGCGGCAGACACCATCGCCGCCGCCGTTTGGCGCGATGCGCCGCCCGCTGCAGCACCAAGCGCCACAGCAAGGACGTGCGCGGCGGACGGCTGGCCGCACACAATACTCGCCACAGACTGGCAGAGCGAGACCGCCGCCATGCCCAAGCGCCCGACTGCAAGTACAAGATACGGTACCGAGCAGACACGAAGAGCCAGCTTGAGCCAAAATGGCTACGGAGGAGGAGGAGGAGGAGGAGGAGGAGGAGAAGGGGGAGGAGGAGGCGGAGGAGGAGGCCTGCTCCTGGAGGCCCCCAGGGCCCAGGCCGCTGCTCCGCTTCCGCGCCCTCCCTCGGGCTCATCTCCCTGCAGTGGAGGCCCGTGCCAAGAGGCGCCCTGCTCGCCTCCAGGGTGCCCTGGGCTTCTTGGGTCTCGAGATGGTTCTGCGATGGGAGTGGCGCTCCCACACCCAATAATCAAAGGACGTCCTGGGGTCTCAGGGTTGGGTTCCTCGTGGAGGGTTTCTTGCGGTCGGGCCCCTTCTGTACCCGCGCAGGCTCGGCATCCCAGGGCCCTCCGTTTCTGAGGGCCCGGGCCAGGAGTCCGAGGCAGGAGCTCGTCCACGACCGCCTGGGGGATCGATGTTCGAGGACCTTGGCAGGCGGCTCCCCCCCTCCCGGGCCCCTCCCTCCCCCTGGGCGGAGAAGGGATCAGAGGGCAGGGCCTTCCCTTCGATGCACACCTACAGCCTCGCTTGCGGCCTTGCTCGACTCAGATCGAGTCGACGGGCTCGGAGAGCCGAAGGGGGGCCGCTGGGGCAGGGAGGAAGAGCCTGGAACGAAAGGCTTGTCCCAGGACCGCACTGAGACGACCAGCCCAGAACTCCCCCCGCCCCCTCCGACAGGGTCGGCGGACGTATCTATCGGCAACGAGCGAGTCAGGCTCGCGACAAGGAGCGAGCCAGGCTAGCCAGAAGATCTTGGCTCGACCCACATCCTGGCGGCTGGCCATGCGGTTACAGCCGCGGGCCGCCGCGTAGGACGGGTCACCAATTAAGCGCAACACGTGCCAATCACTTCAGGCTTCCTCGGGGAATTACTTGCCGCACGACCGGTCTCACCATCTGATGGGCTTGTTTTCCACCGCCACCATAAGTTGGAGGGGGGAAGGAGGTGGAGGGTGAGGAGGAGGAGGAGGACGAAGAAGAGGGGGGAAGGAGGACCCCCTCCCCCCTCCAACTCATGGTGGTGGTGGTGGTGGACAATAGGCCCATCACCATCTGTTCGCCTACTCCAGATTTCGTAATAAAGGAAGGGGGGTCTCATTTCGGGGGGGGTCTCTTCCAGGCTATCTTGGAGGGCCTGGGGGGGTCTGGGGACGATGTTTTGGAGGGTTCTCCCACGGGGGGGGGGTCTAAAACTTCTCGTCTGGGAGGGTTGAAACCCCCTCCCTTTTATTACGAAATCTGGAGTACCCGCAGGTGGGACCTCCTCGGGACAGCCGCGGGGCAGCCACGGGACGGCCCCAGGACCACCGCGGGGCAGCCGTGGGACGGCCGCCCGGGCGGGCACGCCGCGGAGGCCTCGCCTCCTCCTCCTCCTCCTCCTCCTCCTCCTGCTCCTCCTCCTCCTCCTCCTGCTCCTCCTCCTCCTGCTCCTCCTGCTCCTCCTCCTCCTGCTCCTCCTCTTCCGTAGCCATTTTGGCTCAAGATGTCTGCACTGAGGGGGCTCCGCGCCTCCGTGCCAGAAGGGATACCGCTAGTCCGCGGCAGTTTTCCATCTGCTTCTGGGGTCCCGCGGCCTCCGAGGGATCTGCAACCCCTGCAGGGATCCTCGGTCGTCCGTGCGGCTTGGCGAGCCCCATCCTCTTCCTCGTCGCGCGGATGGGCAAAGATGGTGTACCTCAGAAGTGGCACTGTAAGACCTGCTTGCATCCCAAGTCGGGCAAGCCCTTCCTCAATTTTGCCGAGAATAAGAAGTGCTTCAACTGCGGCATCGCGAAGTCGGCCTGCTTCGGAGGCCACGTCGTCCCGGCGGTGCCCTCCAAGCGGGCTCCTTGGCTCAAGAAGGATGCCTGGGCCAAGGGACCGCCGGCCTCAGACGGGGAGCTCGCCAAGTGCCAGGCCCAGATCAAGCGCCTGGAGGGCGAGCTCAAGAAGGCCAAGCAGCAGCAGAACTCGGCCAGTAAGGACGGCATGTGCTGGGACGTCGACAACGAGTGCGAGGCCGTCCCTGATAAGGATCGCCTGGCAGCCATTGACATCGAGCTCGGCACCATCTCGGCCTTGGAGGGCACGGTCTGGACCCAGATCAAGGCTGACTTGCGCGCGGAGCGGCAGGCGATCGAGCAGCGCATGCTCGACTCCCAGCCGGTGGCCTCGAGGCTTCGCACGCTGCTGCGCAGAGTCGACGAGGCCGAGCGCCAGTTGGTCAAGTCCAAGAAGCAGCAGGAGGGATGCCGCAAGCGAATCGTGGAGGCCGAGCAGGCGCTCAGCGAGTCCGACCCCCGCGTCGCCGAGCAGGAGCAGCTCCTTGCGAAGCTCAAGGCTCAGCAGGCGGCGTTGGCTGCCCAGGGCGTGGTGCTTGCGGCGCCTCAGGGCGCTTCGGCGGCGCCGCCCATTTTGCAGCTCGATTCGGAGAAGGTTCGGCAATTCTTGGCGCAGGGCCTCGACGAGCTCGGCGTCCAGGTGCCCGACCTCTCGGGCTTCGCGGTCAAGCTTTGCGAGCGCGTCCCGCAGTGCTCGCAGCAGACCCTTGTTCGTATCGAGGCGCCCGTGGGGCAGGCGCTGGCTGGCATTGCAGGCGCGCCTGGCGACGAGCGGGCGCTTGGGGCACGTCCTGTCGGCACGTCGGAGGAGGCCATCGCTGCTGCGTCGCCGCCTGTCTCGGTGCCAGTGGGCCCTTCCTTGGAGCAGATGCGCTCCGAGATTGCCGCTGGAGGAGTCCTAGTGCCCGAAGGGGAAGAGGAAGTTCGTGCCCTTCATGGTAAGCTGCGGCACGCCTTTGGAAGGCGACAGGGTGGTCAAGCCTCTCCGGCTTTCTCGCCTATGTAAGCCCTTTGTGATGCTGCTGCTGGCCATGGTGTCCTTCTACTTCATCATTCTGGGCGAGTGGCAGCGCCTGGATCTGCCAGTCCATGTTCCTGATGGTGCTGCGCCCAGTGCCATGGGCCTTCCTCCTCCTGGGGGTGCTCTTCCTCCTCGCCGTGATGGCGACCTAAACGGTCGCCGCCATCGTCCGCCTGTCGCTGGGGAGCCTCAGCCGGCTGTGGCAGCAGCAGTGGCAGTAAGTACTTTTCCCTTGAGCCAATATACGTTTGTCACGAGTATGGCTGTCACGGAATCTGCGCTGATATGGCCTCCCGCAGCAGCGCCTGGTCTTGACGCTGGGACCGCTGGTGCGCTGCCGGGCGCGGCGGCGCACGGTCCCCCCGCGGCGCCTCGTGCCCAACCGGCCGAGGCCCCTGAAGCGGCGATGGTCGAACCAGCACGTCTCTTCCAGGAGGAGGTCGTCGAGGCGCCCGTGGAGCTCAAGTTGGATCTGCTTCTACCGGTGCCGCTGCGCCGTGGCACGGCCCCCCTCCACATCGCCACCATCAACGGGGACACGTGGCAAGGGGCTCGCACGGTGCTGGAGTGGAACGCTGCAGCCGGCAGGCGCTTTGACGTGGCCTTCGTTCAGGAGACGAGGTTCCCCGACTCCGAGGCGGCTGGGGGCGCTCGCCAGTGGTGCTTGGGCCAGGGCTGTCATCTTGCCCTGGGCCCTCCTCGTCGGACTGGCGCTGAGCGTCTGGCTGTCAGTGGCGGCGTGGGCCTCTGCATCGGCACACACATTGGGGTCTTCAGTGGCATTGCTGTCCCTGATGAGTGGAGCCATCGCATTGTGGCCAGGAAGATCCACCTCGGCGAGGGCTCGGTCCTCTTGGTGATCTCTCTCTACATGATCACCTCCATCGGCCTCACTGGTGATAACCTGGCGCTCCTTGCGGAGGTGGCGTCTATTGTTGGGCAGTTCCCTGTGCCCTTCATCATCGGCGCCGACTGGAACGTTGACGCCCACGACCTTGTGGCCAGCGACTGGTGCCAGGAGGTGGACGGGATCATCGTCAACCCTGGTGTCCCGACATGCGGGGACAACGAGTACGACTACTTCGTCATGTCCCGCTCGCTGGCCCACCACACCTCCCACCCTCAGGCGTTTGCTGGCACACCTGCCGGCACTCATGTTCAGGTGTGTTGCACCCTGGGGGATATTTGGGAGCATCCGACGGCTTGGCTGGAGGATCCTCGGCGGCCCTTCTCAGTAGCCAGGAAGGCTGACGGATCTGAGGAGTCGGTCAAGCCCAGGGAGCAGCCCACCTCCGAGTCGCAGCGGGAGGCTGCGGAGTTGCTCGAGCCCTTGGAGTGTTTGCAGACAGCCAGTGTGAGGTGGTTCGACCTAGCCGAGGCCTCTCTCATCCGCTCCCAGCAGATTGACTTGTCGGTTGCTCATCACCACCGTGGGCGAGGTCGAGGCATTCGTCTGGTGGAGCGGCCTTTGCTTGAAGTCCATGAGCGGCGGCAGCGCCGTCACGACTCGTCCGACACCGAGGCTTGGTGGAGCTTTCTTCGCATTTGGAGAGCAATGCTTCGGTGGGGGCAGGCCAGCCGTGGTTCTCGCGGCAAGCGACAGGTGGTGCGTGCCCGCCTTCATCTTCAGGCTCAGGCCCTGACATTACCTCCAGCTGTGGCTGGTGCCGAGGCCCGTCGTACGGTGGCCGTCGACAAGTGGCTTGGGCTTGCTGAGCGGGACAGCCCTCTTTCTGCTTGGTTTGAGGATCTTCTCGAGGAGGAGGTGGCCGTGCGCAGGCGAGCTGACGCGGCTGCCAAGGCCAAGCTATGGCGAGATTTTTGCAAGTCGGCCCTCGACGGCCCCGGGAGGATTGCGCACAAGCTTATTAAGCCGAAGATTGTCGAGCCTCTCCCTGTATCCCTGCCTGGCGACGTTGATTCCCTGCCGCAGGTGGGCTCACTGGCGGTTGAGGGTGTTTTGCAGGAGTGGCTTCCGCTTTGGATCAAGGACTCGAGGAATGATGAGCAGCACGCCTCCGAGTGGAATGTGGCGACAACCCTTGAGCCCATCAGTGTCTCGCAGGTGCGCTCGGCCATCCTCTTCTTCGGCAGG